GGAGTGTCTAGACTCGGTTTCTAGACACAGGGATAAAACCTGATATCCCAGGTTTATCCATGCCTGGGATAAATGGAAATGTCCAGGGGTTCTGGAAGGTGTGTCACAGGCTCTATATAGTTGTAAGAAGTCTGAGGTGGGGCCTGAGGCTGCTGTTCTACCCATGACACTGACCTTTCATTGCCTGGGAAACATGGCATCCACCCTGCAGTCGTTGCCATGACAATCCATGGAAGGTCTGAGGCCTGGGTATGTAGGAGGGGAATGGGAGTCACCAGAGAGGGCCCAGAGAGGGAGGGAGACAGGGAGAGACACAGGGGAAGGAAAAAACAAGGAAGGAGGAAGAGGGAGGAGGACTTTTGTTTTGACATCATTTCCCGACAGTCATGTTTCTAGGGAGTGTACTTTTCCTTTGATTATTTCCCACTATCTGTTTCCCAGGACTCCTTTTAGGTCACTGGTGGGGAGATTGGCATGAATATCCATTAAAACTCAGAGAAGTGGAACCACATTTAAATACATGGTGTATGTGATACATGATTGGAGATGTATGGGTGTATACAATTGGGCTATCTGAGGATATACCTGGTTATATATATATATATATATATATATATATATATATATATATATATAGAGAGAGAGAGAGAGAGAGAGAGAGAGATTGGGATATATGGGTATATAACTAGGATTCATCAACTTATATAATTGAGAATATTCAATTTATATTTATATTATTGGGGACATATGAATATGCAAATGAATATGGATCTGTGTATTGTTCATTTAGTCAGGTTTTCTTCACTAGGACGATACCCGAGGAAAGCTATTTTAAAAGAATGACTTGGGGGCTGATGGCTCAGCAGTTAAAGGCACTTGCTGCCAAGTCCGATGACTTGAGTTCAGTCCCCAGGACCTACAGGGCAGAAGGGAGAAAAATGACTTCCAAAAGTTGTTCTTTGGCCTCCACATTCGTGCCGGGGCATGCATGGGTACGTACACGCACAATAAATAAATGTGGTAAGAATTTTAAAATTAAAGAGGTTTATTTTGGCTCCTGGTTTCTGAGGCTCCAATCCACGATCAGCCAGCTGTAGTCCTGTGGGCCTGAGGTGAGGCAGAGTGCCCTGGCAGGACCATGTGGCACAGCAAAGCTGCTCACTTCGTGGCGTACAAGAGGCAGTAGGAGATAGACGGCGGGGGAGCCGCGGAGGAAAAGCCATGTCCTCCAAAGGCGTGCCTCTGGTTCCCTGTCTCCTCCATCCAGATCCTATCTCCTACCTCCCACTGTTTCCTGCTAATGTCATCAGTCTTGGTGATCCTGTCACCTCCCAGAGGCTCCGGCTCTGAATGCTGCCGGATTGGAATGCAAGCCGCCTACCACAAGAAACGTCACATCCAAACCGTGGCACAGCTCATGGGCTTGTGACAGGCACTGCTCACACTCGGTCTTGTGTATCCAGGTCCTGCTCTGGTGGTCCATGCTGGAGATGCTTCCAAGTGCATGAGAGAGGCATCTATGAATTGAGGGCTGCCCCCAAAGCACAGATGAAAGGTACCTCATGAGTTGCCTGTGACCTCATGAGGGTGGTAACTCTGAGAAGCCAAAAAGGCACAAAGGTGTACTAGTAGCACAGCAGGCAGGAACTGTGGAAGATCACCTCCCTCCGGCTCCACAGGACTTTCCCATGTGGCCTGACCCTGAAACCATGGAATGTAGCCCAGGCCAGCTGAGTAGGTAGTGGGCAAAGCCACCCCTAGCTCCTTTTGTCAGGAATCAGCTCCTCTTGAGTCAGAACCAGGGCCAGGAGGAGGTGGGGATCTGGATGGCCTCTTGGAAGAGTGATATGGTCAGATGTTGTTGGGGGGGGTGTGGGTAGGCCTGGGTTGGAACAAGGGCTGGGGATGAGTGGTCCAGGTGTGACTGGGCTGGTGGAGTATCCCCAGGCTCCCGGCTCCCCTGGGTGCTGTATCCCACTACCTTGGAAGGTTCCTGGGGATTCTGGTGTCACCACAGACTCTGACAGATCCAGCTGGTGGCCATTGTGGCCAGGGCTTCTGCCCCCAAAGGAGAGGAGACCCAGATCAAGAAACCCAAAGGGAGAGCTTTGGAAATGGAGTGAAATGGAAAATAGTTAAATCAAATTATAAATAACTTATGGCGGAGAGTTTTGCATAGTCCTTGTCTGTTTCTGAGTCGAAGACCCTTCCTGGAGCTTAGGCAGGGCCAGCACTGTGGCTGTACACTCGTGGGACCCACTCACAAGGGCCTCTGGCTGCCCTTTCCTGCCCACCAGGGGATCCCCAGTCTGTTCTCCCCAAGTGAGAATTTCTCAGATGCATACACTCTGTCATGAGGCCTGCCTGGGATATTCTGAGCTCCTGGCCTGCAACTTTAAGTGAACTTCAGCCTCATGGGTGCTGGGCAGGAGCAGGGGAATCTGCCTTTATGGCTGGCAGATGGAGGCTAGGTTTACTCCAGGCAGCCTGGTCTCCTGGCTCCTCTTTCTCAGCTGGTGTCAACTTTGTGTCAAAACTCCCAGTGTCACTACTGTGTCACAGCATTTTGGCAGAATGGTAGCTTTCTGCACTCTGGCCTCACCAAAGATGTTATGCCTCACAGGGCCACCCTGCAAAAATTACCACAATCTGGGCATCTTCCTAAAGGAGGGGAGCTCAACAAGAGCAAATCTGGAAGGGCTGGGCTATGGCTCAGTGCTGGATGCTTGTCTAACGTGCACAAGATCCTGGATTCAATCCCAGCAGTACAGACACCCATTGGAAAAAAAAAATCCCAAGACACAAAGAAGAGCAAATATGGAAAGCATCTGGAGAGCTCCCCTGTTACCCATCTGGCCAGAACAAAGTTCCCAAGGTCAGAACAACCCACCCACAGACCAATCGAGGGAGCCAAGGGCCCCCAACTTCACGCAGCACATCCCTAAACTACTTCAGTCTCAGGTACACTTTCTTAGCAGGAGTCAAAATGGACCTGCTAGCTCACTGGGTTAGGTGTGTGTCAATCAACTGGGAATGAGGTCGTGGACACGTAATATGGGGTGGGGGACAAGCAACGTTGGTGGGCAGGGCCTGAGCCACCTGCTTGAGTGTGGTTTCAGGTGAGGCTGAGAGCAGGTGAAGCCAAGCTGTGAGAGCCAGGAGGACAGAGGGGCTGGTTCCTCACCTGCCCTCAGTCTCTTCCCCACAGGCAGCTGGGGAACAGTGGGTTCAGATGGTCTTCAGATGGGGCTGGGAACCCACGGGGACTCCTGATCTTAGCTATAACAAAGACACCTGTGTGGGCTCTGGAGACACCTGTTCTTCATCTGATCCCAAACAAGACCTTAGGCACCGGGTAGTGACAGTCATAAAAAACCACAATGAGCAAAGGTGGGGTCAGGTGACTGCTGTACACAACCCTGGGAAAATGCTAGCCAACCATGCCCCGGCACATGCCTAGGCTCTCCGGAGACACTGCATGGAGTTTCATACGTCCAAACACACAGGATCTGAAGCCTTCCTTCCTCCTGCCGGTCTCTCACGCCTCAGGGCCATGCTGCCTGCCTCTGCCCCCAGAGGGTGCAGTTTTGTTGACGGACTTATGAAACTGGAGTATACCCCCAGAATGACATTGTGTTCTCCTTCCTACCCAGCCACAGAAGTGAACTCACTCCACCCCATGCTTTCACAGAGGTCCTTGTCTACAGGTATGACAGGCGGAGAGAGGAGTCCTGGGCCGCTGTTTCTCCTCTAGCTAACAGCTCCCTAGAAGGGAGGGACACAGTCAGCCCCTGTGGCCTGTGAGCAAGTGTGCCTGTCACTCTTAATCCTCCCTGGTCCTGGCTGTGTGGTTTTGTTGTGCTTGTCACTGTTATGTGAACAGACGGATGTGTGGCAGTGGCCCACCCAGGGCTGGCTACCTTTGCTGGTCACTGGGATGTCTTCTGTCCTGTCTAGAGATTCTGTTTCTCTCTGGGGTGGCTGACAGATAGGAGGAAGTCAGAGTCTGAGGGATGGGCTGGTCCATTTTTTTTTTTCTTGCTCTAGAGATAGAGGAATGGACCCTCATGTTAGTTCCCAGCATCCTCCGCTTTCTACACCTGACTCCCGTAACCAGACATTTGCTACCGTGTGTTCAACTTACTGACACCACAGAGAAAAGGTTCCTGGGGTGCCCCGTCGCTTGCAAGGATGGGCTGCAAGGGGCAGAGAAGAGCTGCGGCACCACAGCGGCTCCTCTTGGTTTGGCCCACAGCTTTGCCCTCCCAACTAAGCAGTTTGTTGAAATATCTATTACCGTCTCATGGAAATGGTGAGTAAAGTTCCGTGAAACACCAGAGGGAAAAGCAGAGCCCTTCTGACCACCGCCAGTGAGAACAGAGAGCCTCTGTACACTCACCCTGACCCACGCCGTACACACATCCCAGCGTATGTGTTCACATGCTCTCTACCACTGCATGCATGCATACACATACACCTTTCCTCTCCAACATACGTGTATGCACACTCTGCTGCTACACAGCCCCCAATACCACATATATCCTCCCTCCACCACACCTATCCTCCTCCCCTTTCTCTCTCTCATGCTCATTCCGGAACTCCTGCCCTAGTGTTGAGCAGCGCGTCCTGAAGACCTTCCCCGGAGTCTCATCTCTGACGTTTCCTTTTGTCCTTTGTGAGGGTGGGTGGGTCTTGGTTCTCAGGACCTGAGATCGGTCAATGCATGGGGGAGGGGAGGGGAGGGAAAGCAGAAGCTGAACATCCCTGGACCTCCCCACAGAGCGCCCCCGGCAGCCCCAGCTTTCCACTCCCCGAACTCAGGCCACACTCCATCTTGGCCTGGGATTCTGCGGCCCCAGCCCTCCCTGCTCCACGGCTCCGGGCTGACTCTGCCGCGCACCGCATCCCCGTGTTCAGCAACAGCTGGCTGAGCTTAATTAAGCCCCACAGTGCTGGTTCCACCTGGTGAGGAATTAACAACAACAACAAAACAGCAAACATCGGAGGAGGGGGTGGGCTGGGGCCGCCCGCTATTTCCAGAGGTGGGAACGGGGCTGGGAATCCTAGCCTCTGCCTTTTCCTCTGTGACAGCCCTTAGATGCATACTGTCACCACTGAGTCCAGGGAAGGTATCGACAGTCTAGGGATGATGGGTCTGAGCCTAGTGTCTGTATCCTTCTCTGTGCAGGGCAGGCAGCCAGTTTCCCCCTCCAAGGTGAGAGGACTCAGGCTACCGAAGGCCACAACTTAGCCTTCCACGTGTGTCTGCTGAGGACTGCCACATGTGTGGCCCTGGAGCCACCCAGCTCACAGGCATGTTTGTGGTCCCCACGGTCCAAGCAAGTGACATATGAACAGAGACCAAGGATCCCACACACAGCGACTTTGCAGAGGGGAGCCGTGGATTGGCCTTGGAAGAAGCTGATAGACATTGCCCTTCAATGTTCCCGCGTCCTGTTGGGGCTGTAAGCCAAGGTGGTGCTGGCTGCAGGGCCCCTGAGTGCATAGAGCAGAGATGCTGGTGTCTGGGGATCCCATGGCTCTCAACTCTGTGCTTGGCAGCAGTGGCCCCAGGAGCATCCTCAGCCTCCAGGCTACAGGACTGGAGCTTGGGAAGGCTGGCCATAGCATGGCTGTAGCCATGGAGGATGGGGCTGCCTGAACCGGGCTGAGAGGAGAAGCAAGGTGGGGCTTCTGCAGGTGCCGACTCCAGGGGTGGCTAGGGAAGAAGCCACAGCTGGGCCACTCCAATGGGACGGTCTTCAGAATGCCAAGCTCAGACAGGCCAGCAGATGTCAAGGCCCCTTGTGGACAAAGACTGGTTCTTCCGGAAATTTTATTTGTAACGTGTATACATCTGCTTCCAAGGCAAGTTTGAGAAATGTCAGGAAACAAAATAGCAGTTGTAGAAACCGCAAGTCGTCTATGCCATAGGTGACTGTCCTCTGTCGGGACCGGGGTCCTGCTCTGAACGTCCTGGCACCTACAGGGACAGGGAAAGAGGAGGGACTTGTTAGTCGTATGTTCAGATTTTCAGGGTTTTGTTTTCTTTTTTGGTAGGAGGCACGGGAGTTTGGTAGAAAGAGTTTAAGTAAGTTCTCTGACTGTGTCAAAATTACCCAGCCTCCTTCAGTGTCCAATGTGTTGGAACAAAGTTGTTCAAAATATTGCCATTTTCCTCTTATTTGCATTTAGGGGAAATTCCTATGTATTCTGCTCCTGTTGGGTCAAGGATCTATTAATACCAATGAGGTCATGGTGGTTGAAATACTGTCTTTAGCTTCTTTCTTCTCCTCATCCCTCCTCCTCATTTTCCATCTATACATTTGACAGGGATGTTGAAACCTCGAACTGAGACTGAGTTTGTCTGTTTCCATTTGGATTTGCCTAGTTTTGCTTCATGTTTTTTGAAACTTTTATTTTTTTCTTTTCTTTATTCTTCCTTCCTTTCTTCCTTCCTTCCTTCCTTCCTTTCTTTCTTTCTTTCTTTCTTTCTTTCTTTCTTTCTTTCTTTCTTTCTTTCTTTCTTTTTGTTTGTTTTTTGGAGAAAGTTTTCTCTGTGTATCCCTCACTGTACTGGAACTCACTCTGTAGACCAGGCTGGCCTCCAACTCACAGAGATCTGCCTGCCTCTGCCTCCCAAGTGCTAGGATTAAAGGTGTGCACCACCACTGCCTGACTATGAAAACTCTGAGCAGACTCATGTATGACTGTGGGTCTTCCTTATGAGTTCATAGCTGATGCGTTTCTCTTCAGCTCTAATAACACTGTCTGCAGGCTGCTCTGTCCTCTATTAGCGTAACCACTCCTGATTTCCTGTCCTCTACAATTTTTAAAAATTATGTTTGTGTTGGGGCGGGGAGGGGGCACCCACGTGCATGCACACTCAAACGTCACAGCGTGTGCGTGGAGGTCAGAGGACAGCTTTCAGGGGTCAGCCCTCTCCTTCCACTGTGTGAGTTTGGGGGATCGAACTCAGGTTGTCAGGCTTAGGGGCGTGCGCCTTCCCACTGAGCCATCTCACTGGCCCTCCTTTTGTTTCCTTTCCTTTTTTGTGGTGCTGGGGATCCAACCAACCCTCTCCAGCCCTTTAGCCTCTGCTTTTTTAACCAAATATTAACCCATTTATATTTAATTTACTTATTATCATGATTGAATTTAAACTATCTTGCTAGTTGTCTTTTATAGAAACTTGGTTTTTTGTTTCCTATTTTCCTTCTTGCCTACTTTTGAATCATTTGGCTATTTGGTTTTACTTAGGAGATACACCTCCGAGCTTCCCTTATTTTTGGCAGCTGCTCTGAGGATTATGATGTCTTCGCTTTGAGCTCCTATCACAGCTACACTGAATTGATCTGATGCTTTGGAAGGATGATGCTGTGGTACCTCTCTCCTCTTGTCCTGTATTGAAATCACACACTCCTGCAAATACCATGCTCCCCACCAGACACCATTATTTCTATCTTGTCATCATCCGAAGAGACTTTGTGTTACCTCATTCTCTTGGCTTCCTTTCTGGGTTGGTCTGAGGCTCTCCTAACCATTTCCTCTCTGTCTTTTTTTTTTTTTTTTGGTATTTTCGAGGCAGGGTTTCTCTGTGTAGCTTTGCGCCTTTCCTAGATCTCACTCTGTAGTCCAGGCTGGCCTCGAACTCACAGAGATCCGCCTGGCTCTGCCTCCTGAGTGCTGGAATTAAAGGCGTGCGCCACCACTGCCCGGCTTCCTCTCTGTCTTGAAGGACTTCTCCATGGTGCCTACACACATGTCTGCTATGATGAACTTCCTTAGATTTTGTTTACCTGAAAATGTTTTATTTCACCTTAATTCTGGAAGGATGTTTCATTTTTCTTTGTTTATATGTTTGTTTCAACATTTTAAAGACACTCTCCTGCTGCCTCTGGCTTGCATGGCTTCTGATTAGAAGTCATCAGTGTTCCTTACCATGTGCTGCTGTCTGTGACACACCTGTTTTCTCTACCTGCTTCTGGTGTTTCTCTTTAGCTTTGGTGTTAGTAGTTTGCCCACAATGTGCCTGCTTTTTAGTTTTATGCCACATGACCTTTATTGATTTGTGGATTGATATTTTTCATCTGATCTGAATTTCTGTCCTCTCCTTCCAGGTCCTGGTCACATACATGTGATACTGCTTGGAATTCTACCACAGGTGGTAGGATTTTTGTTGTTCTATTCTTAAATCAGGGTCTCATGTATCCCAGGATGGCCTCCAATTCAGTCGGTAGCTGAGGATGACCTTGAATGTATGATCCTCCTGTAAACACCTCGTGAGTTCTTGGGTTATAGGTGCAAGCGGCCATTGTGCCCAGTTTATATGGTGCTGGGGTCACATCCAGGGCTTCCTGACTATTAAACAAGGGCTGAAGCATGTCTATAGCCCTGTGGAGTTTTTAAAATTGTGCTTAAACTTGTATTTTTAAAAATGGATCCATATTCGTGTCTACTCATCATTTTTCTGTGGTCCAAATGGCTGCTCACCTGTCTTTCACTCAAATCTTTCTCTTCTAATTTCAACATCTGGGTCACCCCTCTCTGGGTTTGTCCTCTGAGATCTTTTCTATAAAGAGGATCATATTTGTTCCAGCCATGAAGCTTTACCCGGCAAAGCTGTTTTGAACCTGTTAACAAAGGGGGCTACCTGGCACTCTGTGCTAGGCCATCATCACCCTGCTCTCAAGACTTGCCTTTCCAGGGCCATCAGCCAGTATTTGCACTCCATCTGCCTAAGCGAACACTGTCGCTGGTGCCACATCACCTCTCCACCCTCTGGTGACAGTTCTCATGGGGCCTCTGCATTTCTGCTCTTGTCATGTGTGGTTCCAGGGAACTCCTGTGTACAGCTCTGGCCTCTTATTTGCATCGCTTCCTTCTCTCTATACTCCACTAACTGCAGACACCTCGGTACCCTCGAACACCAACCCCTGCTTCCTCTATCTGCTAAGACTAGTGCGCTGTACTGGTCTCCACCTCACTCAGCAGAGGCCTGAGAACCTTCTCCAGGCACAAAGCTGGGGGTGGTTTGTAGCTGTCTGGGCAGCACCTGAAAATGCTTGTTCCATTCAGTTGGTCACAGTTTCACTGCTGTCAGACCTGATGACTTAAAAGGCAGGCAGAGTCACATTGGCTGACAGTGTCACCAGCTTCAGTACGAGGTCAAGCGGCCCCACTGCTTTGGGCCTGAGGGAGGCAGAGTATCATACAGCAGTAGAGTGTGATAGAGACTTCTCACCTCACAGCAGCCTGGAAGATGGGGAGGGGAAGAAAGGGAGGGGAAGGGTGGGAGGGGAGGAACGGAAGGGAAAGAAAGGGGAGAGAATAGAAAGGAAGCGCCCAGGACAAGATACCCACTAAGGGATGCCCCCAGTGAGCGCCATCTCCCACCAGACCCCGCCCCCAGTAGTTCCACCTTAGTATGAATCTCTCAGTGAATCTATTCACCGAGGAAGTCAGAACTCTCAGGATCCAGTCACCTCTCAAGGACTGGATCCACAGCTGGGAACCAAGCATCCTACATAAGAGCCTTCCAGACTCTACATTCTACATGTAAACCACCATGAGCAGGGTTTGTGCAGCTAAGCAGCTGTCTTTGGCTGGCATGTGATTCCAACGTCTGTTATTCTAATCATGGCCAGAAGCAGTCTCACCATCCACCTCCTTCCCTAACTTCCCGTCCTTCCATCTGTGATGGGATTCCTTCAGCACCCTGGTCCTACTAGAGCCTTTTCCATCCCCCCAGAGGCCATCCAGATGCTGTCATTGGGTGCATTTGGGGGCCTCTGCAGGGGGATGAGTCTCACTCTGAGCCTGCCGATGCCCCACAGGCTAGCACTTCACCTGAAGAAAGTGTGCAAGCTTTTTTGGGAGCTTAGTGGTTACCTTGTTGGTGTCAGCACACAGTGTCTGCAGACATGGGTTTGGGTGGGGGCCGCTCTTCCTCAGCCCTGCTTGCTTTCTGCTGAGCAGAGTAGATGTCTAGAATGCAAAGATGAGGTCTTTGGACACCACAATCCCAGAAATAGATCCAGGGGAGCTGGCAAATGTGTTTCTGCTTTGGAATTTGTTCAGTATTTAACAGAATGTCCTTAAACATCAACCATGGTTCAGGCTCTGGGGTTGAGATGAAATGCTCTGTCCTGGAAAAGCTATGAGCCTGGAATAAAGGTAGGGGGAGCAGAGAAACAGGCAGGTGATGTCTACCAGGAAGCCTGTGTGGCACAGGCTTGGGCAGCCTCAGCCCACCTGGAGCAAGCTTGGAAGCCCCTCCTAGGAGACACCAAGCAAAGCCATGAGTCCCCAGGAGGAGGGCTGGGAAGGAGGGCATGTGAAAGGGCTGGGGGACTCCAGAGAGTGGACCTCAGGTGCACTTCACAAGCACTGAGGATGAGGGATCAGCCCCAGAGTGCTGTCACGGGATGGTGGATGTGATCCAGAGGTCATTGAGGAGTGACGGGCAGCTTCAAGTTAAGCATTATGCTCCTAAGTTCCACTGTGGCCACTGTTGGTGGCTGGGCTGTAGAAAGGAGGACCTGAGCAGCAAGGGTACCAATGGGGGACTCTTCCAGTAATGAGAAGAGAGGAAGTAACAGGTTCAGGGCATGCAGACCCACTTCTGAAGTGCTAGCCTCCATCTCCACAGAAGGACCAGAGCTGAGATCACATGCCTTCACGTGTTACAGGGAACAGCTGCTGCATGCAAGTGACCTCTCTGTGGATGCTGGATGTTTGACTCTTGTTAAATGCCGAGGAGACTGAAACTCATGGGAGAGGGCCAGTACCTGCCTAGCTTCACAAGATGCACACAAGATATAGAGCCAGATTTCAGGCTTGACAGCAAACAAGGGCCCTGATGCATGCAATCTCTCTGGGGTCCATTTGCTGGGCAGGGCTAAGCAGAAGTTAGTAAATGCAGGTCTACAAAGGCACACACGTGTGCATAAACACACAAATAACTCATGCTTACACGTGTGCCTGAGCACAAATGCATACACACATGCATAGCCCTCAAGTTTACACATACAACATGCTCATACACACACTCACACATTCAGGCACTGAATGGGTACACTCAGTCAAAGGGTAGGATGGAGGATTGTTTCTGGAGCATCCCTTGTCTCCGGTGCTTCTGGGGTCACCCTCTTCCTTGGGCCAGCAGGAAGCTGCTGGTGGGAAGGTTGGCAAGGGGTGCCAATACTCTTTTTCAGCACACCCAGAAGCACCTTCTTTTTAAGTGTGGGTACCACATACAGGTGCCAGACTCAGTCTCCTGTCAGGACCAGAGGCTGTCTCAGGGACCCATGCAGGACCCCACGCAGAGGAGGTACCAGGGTTCCCAAGCTGGATGGTGCAAACCCATGATTCCTCACCGACTCTGTGAGTGTGGAGTGCTCCCAGGAGACCAAGGGCTACACCTCCACCTCCCGGCCTGGAGAAAGCAGCTATGTCTCTGGCCATGACACACGTGGCTCCCAGCTGCTCTCCCCCTGTCTTGCCTCATGCCCTCCTCACAGCCACACTGCCTTCCTGAAGGAACACAGAGGTCCCCAGCGCCCACCCAGCTGCCGTGACTCTCTTTGGCCCTTCCTTCCCTTCCCTTTCCCTCTGCCCCCCTCACCCTGCTCTCTCTTCCCCTCCCCCATCATCTCTCTCCCCCTCTCGAGGAGCAAGAAAAATGGAAGTCGAGATCTTCTCTTGGCGATAATTATTGAAAAGTTCAGTCGGAGACAGACAGCGATGCTGTGAGCAGGCGGGCAGGGGAGGGACATTAAAATGCACACGCACAGCTTGCCTTGCGACAGATGTTGGCATAATTAGAGAGGAAAAAATTATGAAATTAATTTGTGGTTCAATGTAAATTTCACCAATGGGGGGAAAGCTGATCTCTAGTCACCTCATGCGTGCACACGGGCATGCACACATACCTGACATGCCCACACGCCTACGTGAGCACACATGCCTATGTGTACACACCTGAATATGCAGATCCCAAACTCCAGGGGAGTGGCAGCTGTCAGGCCTCTTCAGGGGAAAGATGGGTATGAAAAATAGGAAGGGAGAGATCCGAGAGTGGTTCATCCTGTCAGTTCAGCACTGGGATTGCTGAAGATGCGTCCCCTCCCCCGCTTGGTGGGAAGAGCGCGGCTAGTGGAGCTGGATGGGTCCTTGGGTCTCACAAGAGCTGGAGTGTGACAGTTGCTCAGATGCACATAAAGCTGGAGCTGGGGCCTCACCAACCTAGTCCTCACTGTGTGCTGGCGGGGGGGGGGGGCTCACCAACCTAGTCCTCACTGTGTGCTGGGGGGGGGGGGCTCACCAACCTAGTCCTCACTGTGTGCTGGGCCTGTCTTTGACTCGGCTCCCCCAGCTGTCACTCATGGGCAGATCAGAATGGAGAGAGCATTCTGGGGTCTGGTGGCTGGGGAAGAGGCAGGGCCTTGTGGCCAAAGTAGGGTGAGGGGATTGGTAAGTCCTTGGAGGGGGGAGGTCCAACATGTATATCTTGGCTGGTCAGAGGTCCTAGAGGGGTGTGCCCATCCGAGGTGGGTGCAGCAGAGAGGGACATTCCACGTAGCCAGCCTCCTGCCCAGCACTGCCTGCTCAGTACTGCTGGGCAGGTAGACATGCAGAGGCACCATTCACTACTTCATAGAGACCACACACAGGCAACCCTGCCAGGCTGGGACTGGCTCCTTTCTTCTGTTTCAGTGACCATGTGACCTGCTGGTGCTTAATTATTATACCTTTCCAGTGAAGACTGTCGCTGGCCTCCCCATCTGTCCCCCTGGGCTGGTCACACACAGGAGGATTCTCTGAAGGTTTCTGCTCCACGCTGGCCTCCGCCCAGGGTCACCTTCCTTGACTGGGACAGTATCAACTCACTTATGCACTGTCCTCCTGGGGCTGGACCTGAGTCACAGTCCCCACCCCTCCTGTCCCACGGCGAGTCTTCTCCTACATCCCTTCCCTCACTCTGCATGTCCAGAGCGTCCATCATTTCCCATCCGCTCCTTTCCTGTAGCAGCCATAGCTGTGAGGACTACCCCCACATGGTTGTCTCTTCAGCCGTGTGGACTATGGGGCCTGCACCTCTCACTGATGCTCCCCTGGCCCCACTCTCCATGGTAACTGCATCTTCTAGTGCCCCAGAGGCAGGCTCAAGCTAGACATGCTCCTCCAGCCCAGTCAAGCCTGTGCTCCTCACCCTGTGTCCCCTCAGGGTCACCCATCCTGGTGTGCCCTTCATAATCAATTTGCTACCTCCCTCCTCCAGGAAGCCTGCCCTGACTTCCCTCTGCAGAGCAGGATGCACGCAGCCACATTGTTCAGTGATGCCTTCTCATCAAGGTTTGTGCGGCTGGCGCCACCTTCCTCCACATAGGCCGCAGTCTGCAGATCAGCCCCTCCTGGCACAGTTGTTACTGGCACAGAAGGTTGTGTTGACAAGTCTAGACCCCAGGGGCCTGGGGAGGTAGATATGAGAGGCCCAGCTGTGGCTGTCAGAAGTCTGGCTCATAGCAGTTGCACACCTAAGGAGAGTAGTGGCGGGCACTGTCACCTCCGCTGCACTGGTGGCGCTGCCAGATGTCAGGCAGTGGCCTCGGACCCAGTGAGACCAATTTATGTTCTGCAGGTGGCCTAGGGTCCCAGGGACACTCAGGAGTAGCTCCAACACAACTTGGAATGGAGGGTTATATATCTTATTTATTCTTGTTCTGTGTGTGTTTGTGTGTGTGTGTGAGTGTGTGTGTGAGTGTGTGTCTGTGTCTGTGTGTGCGTGCGTGTGTGTGAGTATGTGTGTATCTGTGTGTGTGAGTGTGTGTGTGTTTGTGTGTGTACGTATGTGTGTCTGTGTGTGTGTGTGTGCATGTGGGCACGTACATGCTACTGTGCACACGTAGAGGTGAGAGGACTTGCATGAGTCAGTCCTCTTCTAACATGTGGATCCCGGGATCAAACTCAGCTTGTCGGACTCGGCGCCAAGCATCTTTTACCCTCCAAGGCATCTCGCTGGCTCCTGGAGCAGGGATTTAAATGTGGCCTGGGGCACCCTCAGGCCCAGACACATACAAGAGGCTAAGAGGTCCCTCGTGATTATGTTCAGGGCCATGAGACCTGTGGGTGTTGGAGCCAGTGCTGATCCTAGACTTGTGGTACCACAGTGGTGTTCTGGTCCTGCTGCCTCTGTGGAAAAGGGCAGGGCCTGGTTAACAGGACCGATTATGGGGGGAGGTCCACGGCCCCGCCAGTTTCTGGACCTCTCCAAGGTACTGAAACAAGTACTGAGTGAGGTTAATACCTTGCGCCAGAGGCCTGGGCCTGGGCACTCTGCTGGGCTCCTGAACCCATCCATGCCAGCTGTGTTGAAGACAGATAATGCGCCTTACCGTCTCTGAAAGATACTTGAAATCAAATGGGTGAGGTCAGGCCTCGGGGTGACAGTCTTCACCCCGCACTTGCTGTGTGTCTTGGTCCGATTTTCCACTCCCCCTCTGACCAGATGCAGTATCACAGGCCCTTCTGAGAGCTTCAGATCTGCCCTCAGTCGCTGGTCCCACGAGGGTGGAGGGAGCCTGCTCACTGCCTTCAGTTCCGATTGCCTCGAGCCCTTTAAACCTATATCGTCATTTCCAGCCAAAATAAGGAGTAGAAGGGAAAGTGAGGCTGGATGAATCCACATGTTCCTCCGGGGAACCCTCTGTATGTGGGTGTGTAAGCATCCGAAGCACACAGAGAGAAGACCTCTGCTGAGTGGGAGACGGTGTAAGTCCTACACTAATAATGACCCAGCCAGGGTGTATACGGTGAGGATAGAAAAGATACAACCAGCAGTCACAGGTTGGCATGTGCCCTGCCCGTGGGACAGTGTGTGCCCCGTGTCGGTGTGGCATGTAGACATGTGTGTTTCAGGGGTTGTTCCAGGCAGCCCCCACCAGATCCACTCCCCAGCTCATTAAGGCTCTCCCATTATTCTGACATTTGTGCACATCACGTACCGGCAAGAAGTAATTTACTTAGAAGAAATTAAAAGTTCATTTTAATTGAGCGCACACTGCAGTATGCAAATGCACAGCACATTATGTACACTGATGCAGAGGCAAAGCTATCATCAGCGCTTAACCCTCCCCGTGCTGGGCTCCTCCGCTCCAGGAGGGGCTCCAGGCCGCGGGAGGCCTTCCCGACTCCCCAGCAGGAGGAATCAGCAATGCTTAGAGTCCTAGGACATCTCCAGACGGTAACACTACCTGTGCACTGGACCTGGGGTACGACTGCAGGCTCCACCCAATCCAGGTCCCGCTCACAGACTTAATTGATGAGGCCTCGAAACCAAGCCCTGGGTTCTGCTGGGGACAAGTGCACACAGGTCTACAGTGACCCAGGACAGGCTCAGTACCATTGTGCAGGCTACTCGGAGCCTGCCTCCTGGTGGATAGGTAAGGTGTCAGATCTATGGTGGGGCCTGGTATCTCCTGTGGGGCTTGGTCTCCTGTAAGAGGAAGGGTTGAAGCAACTACCATTTCGCCAGGATCCAAGTGCTTTCCAGCAGCCCACGGCAGAGCTGTGAGTGGTGGTCTCCCTGCAGGCTGCTCTCCTTCTTGAGGTTGAAGTCCAGTATCGTGCCACGACTGGATGCATCTCATGCACTCACTACTCTTTCTCTGGAGGTTCAGAGAAGACAGCCACGGCTACACTTCCTGGAGGGGCTTCAAGAGGTGGGGCTGGGCTGGAGTCTGGCTCAGCTCCTGGAGTCCAGACCCTGTCCTGAAGGGCTCAGGGACATCAGGAAAGAGAGAGGGACATACTGGGACTTCTCTTGACCCTGTCAGACTTTCTCAATGGGGCTCTTGCCCTTACCCAGAAAAACAGAGGTGTCAAGTAAGCAGAAAAAGGACCCATCAGGAACAGCCAGCCTGACCCCTGGCAGGGTCCCCTCCCAGGAGGTTCCAGCAGAGGCTGAAACCAAGGTAGTAGGGCCTGGGTGTGTGTGCCTGGATCTCTGGGACCTCCTTGCTTTATCTATGGATGGGCGGTACTTGGCCCCTCCAGATGGCTGTGTGGCACAGCCCAGGTAGCAAGTGGCTGGGATGGGTCTCCGCCTTCCCACAGCTCCCCCTCTGCTCCTTCATTCTCTGCTTCTTCTGTCTTGGGCAGCAGGGAACACCTGTTCAACCCAGCCAGCCCTCTCCAGGACAGAGCAGAAGGCCAACTCCCATCTGGCCTCCCTGAGGGAGTAGACTGGTCAGGAGCAAGCCTCCCACCGGAGCCAAGGCTGGTCCCTGGGATGTTGTTTTCACGTTGGATTTTTGCTACCTGTCAGACCTGGGATTTTTAATGACAGTGAAATGAAGCTGCTTCACAGATGTGAGATGACAGCCAGCTGCAGGAGGCAGACAAATTACCTCCAGACCCAGCCCACAACGCCCACACATCCACACAAAGGAAGCCAGCCTGCCTCACTTGGATGAGCAGGAACGGCAGGGGGCCCGAGCAAGCTGCTCCTGCTTCCCCAGGGCTCCCGCCCTGCTACGGGCAGTGCCTGCCCTCCTGTGCAGTAAGGGCAGCCTGGCTACAGACTTCTTGCCCTGGCCCTTAGAGTTCACGTGAATGTGACCCTCTCCTAGCCACAGCCATGTCCCCTACCCAAAGACCAACTTCCTACCCATCAGCCATTCATCTCCTAAGTCTCCAGTGAACACCTGCTGGAGCAGGAGAAAGAAGGGCTTGTGCCACTATAAAACCTGGAGAGTCGAGGTTCAGAGACAGAAGGAGACACAGAAGGAAAGGAAGCCGAGGAAGGGGATCTTCAGGAGGGAGGGAGCCCACAGCGGGAAGGAAGCCAGAGAGGAGAGCCAGGACCAAGTTTCTCTCCGCTGGGCTTGGCTAGCTATGAAGTATGGAGCTCTTTTGCCTCCCCTGGAGCTCTGAGACCCTAGGTGGGTGAGCCCTTTGTTAGAGAGGCCCATGAAGGGGGTCTGGACTCTGGATCCACACTGGCCCAGGAACCTGTATTGGCTGCACACCTGGGATCCCTGGGCCTCTGCTCTCCAGTCCCACACAAAGCCTGACACTTTAGTTCATGGGCCTTGCCTTTTCCTCTGCAGGAGGCCCCAGGGAGTCAGGGGAGAAGAGATGTGGCCCCGGGCAGAGGCAAGGTGGATACCGGATTGGGGGAGGTGTGTCCATCCCTTCTGTCTGTCAAACAGAATAACAATTGTGACCTCCCAGATGGAGGTCTAGCCTCACACCTGTTCCCTGTTGTACCTTCCTCCCTGGGTAGTAGGCGTTTGCCTCTGTGCCCTCTGAGCTTTGGGATGTGTCCCTAGGGTCTTGCAGCACTATCAAATCCTCATCCTATAAAACCTCCCCCTTTGAACACACACCTGAGGGACCGGAAGAGTGTTCTGCTGATGGTTGTGGGGCTTGGGATGAGCGACTGAACTCTGGGCGCGTCTTGTGGTGTCACAGGCACACATCTTAGCTGAGCTTGGCTAAACCACAGAAAGGCTCAGCCCTGCCTCTAGCCCTCTAAGTCTGTGAGTCCAGAAGTCCAGCTGGGTCAGGGGCTCTGATTCCCCATATGGGGACCAAGTGTGTCTTCAGCACCTGCTCCCGCAGGGTCCCGTCAGTGTGTGGTTCCCAGCAGCCCCTCACTCACAGCCCCTCCATCATGGCCGGCAGTTTCCCGGTTCTAGGTCTCATTTCCACTTCGGTTCTACCGCCTCTGTTCCGTCCTGCCCACAATAGGCTTCTGAGACAGCTGGCACAGTCCTGTTCCAGAGTGTTCTTATCACCCTTGTTTCTCGGACCTCAGCCATGTCCCTTGAATTGCTAGGCCTCCAGTCTGGTCGCCAAGACCCTGACTCTGCAGATAAGGTTCTTGTAGTCAACAGTCCTGTCTACTGACCGCGGGATCAGTACTTCTGGGCACTGGTCTCACTGGGCGTGTGCCAAGAGTCAGGCTCAGTACAAGGCCCTCTGGGTTCACCCCGGGCCACTTTGCAAATGTGCAGACTGAGGGCAGTGAGAAAAATCCCAGGAAAGCCACAGATGGTGAGCAGCTTGCCTCTGGGTCTCTAGGCCACTGATACTGCAAAGGGGACTTGGCTCCTTGCTTGAAGTGGCCGTCGATGCCAAGGCCGTGTGGGCTCTGTGGGAACTTGCATGGTCCACGTTTGTCTAGAGAGGGTCTCAGCTGGAGGACATCTTGGTGTTCATCCATTCCATGTGGCCAAAAGACTTCAACTATGGCTCCCCGGAACTGCAGATACCCAGCGTCTTGATTTCTGTTCTCAGACCTTAGCCTTCTGCCTGCCATGGGTACTCAGGACCCTAACAGCCCTCTGCCTGGCCCTTCCTGATGGGCCTAAACCTGCCTCCAGCAAAGCTCCTCTGTTACGAAGAACCAAGCCACATGAAACTCTTTTCTAGTACTTAGAGCTGCCACAGCTTAGTCCTCCGGGAAGTCATCATGCACAGTAAACACTGTCATTTTTGCACTATGGAAACACAGTCCTGATGAGAACCAGAGTCTCCTGCAACCACTGCGACTCACTACACCAGGCAACGTGCAGGCTCAGGGAGGTCTGACTGTTTTTAGGATGCACACTTGAGTCCACCGTTCAGCCCTGACCTGACACATCACAAGCCCCTAAATATGGCGGGGACCACTGGCCCATTCCCCTGTATCTCGGTGTCCCTTTGCCTCCTTCCTCACACCAGCTCCATCAACTGGAGAAGCATCGCATTCTGCAAGAGCCAAGGCAAATGGTACTTCCTGCAGGTAGTGGACTCTCCAGGGGATGCTTACTCCAGGGAATGCTGGGAGCTATTTGCAGCATCTCTCACATCATTGGCCACCGCAGCCAGTAATTAGCCTGTGAGGAAGGCAGGGCAGCCATGGCTAACCTGCCACTTCTTATATACCCAGCACTATACTGACCCTAGACGTGGGACACAGTGAACAATTGTGGAACAAACCAGCAAGCAAATAGAGTAGCCAAAAGGACTCAGACGCCTGGCTCCTGAAGATCAGCCCAGGAGGAGTGCTTGGGGTCATCTGTGAGTCCCCACACTGTCTAATACTGAAGGGGCTAGAAACGTGGCCCCGTAAAGTCAGGGACAGCTGGCTGAACCCAATAGTGTGTACAGGGGCACCCCAGAGTGGTCCAGTAGCTCCTAGGTGGGCTGAATTGGGTAGGCAGGGTCTTTGGGGGAGGGTTAGCTGCACCCCCATGCACTCCCTCCCGGAGGCTCCAGATGGAGAGTACAAAGAGTTAAGTCCTCTGTGAGCAACTGCGGGAAAGTGGTAAACAATTTTTCTCTCCCTCGGCTAAATTAATATGCAAATTCCTAAGCCCCCTCCACTGGCGTCCCCTGCCTTGAAATTAGCGAGGTAGAATGCTTGGGCTAATTATGCATTCAAACGAGCAGGCTGCGTTCTTGCGGCGCTAAGAGGATGCGGAAAATGATTGTGAGAAGATGGAATTGACATTCGAGCGGGTCCTTCTGGGACATCTGGAAGTGCTCTCGCGTGCACAGCAGATGTAACCAGGCAGTGACCGCCAGCCACCCCTGGTCTGGTGGTGGGTTCAGAGGCCAGGGGCGGCTCTTCGCTGTTGCTCTAGGGGGAGAGGAGAGACCATGAATAGCCATCTACTCTCCAATTCCCCACCAGCTAAGCACCTTTATTCCTGCCCTGACAAACAAGATCCTTCCCCACCTAACCCCCCCCCCTCCCCCGCAGGCCTTCCACACTGCTGGTACCCACAGCCAGCACCACAGCAGGGATGCTGTGTGAGCACTGTGGGCAGAGCCCAGAACTGTAGAGGGAAGGGTGAAGTATCTCTTAAGCCCTTTCAGCTAGAGCCAGAAGGTCACTCCAACATGCCTCAGTCATAGCATCCGCCACCCAGACGAGTTGTTTTGCCACTGTAGGTAAATATTGATCTGAAGTGGAGCTTCTCAGAAAAATGGGAGTCTGAGTAACAGAAACAAAATAGAGATTGCCTGGTGCCGGCAATGGGTAGGAAGGCTGGGAGAGCTGGGCTCAGGAGCTGGCCATTCTGAAAGCGGAAGGTGGGTCCAGACCTGGAACCCTTTATTACTTAATCTACTGATGAAGCCTACCCTCCTTGCCTGTCAGTCACAGCCTCCCAGTTTCTGCTGGACAGAGGCTAGCTGTCCCTTCCTGCCTTGGTTTTCTGAACATGGAGCCCTGTCTTGGCACAGCCTCTCTTTGGGCTCCATCTCAATGAACTGACTGCTGATCTCCACAAGACTGACCACGTGAGACCAGGGCGTGGTCTCCTCCTGGTGCTTCCCGGCTGCTTTTCTGGTTGGGTTTCACCACAGTCCTTTGGTTCACGTGGAGCCTAGATGTTTGCTGTTCCAAGAGTCTGAGCGTGACCTTTCCCTTCCTCTCTAAATCCCTACAAAACAGTGTTGTCCTGTAATCTCAGCAGCAACCATGGTCCCAGGCCTGTACCTCAACATGCTTGAGGTCTGCCAGTCAGGAGGCTGGTGGGAGGATTAATGAGGCTGCTCCGATCTGCTGGACAAACTGGAAGCTGTAGAGCTGCGGAAGAGGAAGCTCCTGTCTGAAGTGTGAGCCAAACAGTGTGGGAGGTCCTGGAAGCGTTCAGCGATCCAAATCCACTCACACTGCAAGCCTGTCACAACCATAATGGCCACTACGATGGTCAATCATCACCATCACTACCATGCCAGCACCACCACCATCACTGCCGTTACCATCACCATCAGTTACTATCGTTATCACCACCATCACCAGCACCATCATCACCAACACCATCATCACCATCTTCATTATCACTACCATCATTAGTATCAACACCATACCATTATCACCACCGTTATCTTCACAACACGGACTTGGTACCAGAAGTATAAATTATGTTCTTACATTGAATCCTGACACATACACACTGAATAAGAGTAAGTGTAAGTCTCGGTCTACAGATAGAGAAATTGGCATAGCTGAAGGCCGAGGCTGAGCTTGATCCAGATCTCCCCGACACCAGCATCCCAAGTTAAAGGCTCAAAACTTTGCGGCTTCTCATCAGTCAGTACCTTGCCTTCCAGTTTAGGGATGAGGGACAAAGCAGTATGTGTCCTAACCGTGGAGGCAGCGGAGTCAGTGGTATGCCAAACTCACAGCCTATGGGACGTGAAACAGTGTGTATTCTTAGTTATCAAGATAACTAAGGATGATTTTTTGCAATTACAGATGCCTTTACCTCTGTCAGTGTGCGTGTGGAAGGCCGGAAGCAGCTGGGTTGGGGAGAGAGTGAGACCCAGCTGCAATCTTATGGATACAACCTGGCACAGGGACCCTTTCCAGCAGGAAGGCTGTGACCTCACAACCTGCAAGCTACCCCAAGACCTTGATTGGAGAGAAATATAGGCCTCCCCTCAATGGCCCTACCTAAGAGCTGTGTGGGACTAGGCTCTGAGGAGGCCAGCGTGGCCAGCGGACTGCCACAAGCCACAGCCTCAGACCTAGGGCTGTGGCTGAGCAAATAATCTCCCCTCTGTGGCCCTCAGTTTCCTTATGTGTCCTACCAGAGTGGTAGACACTTTCTAGACACTTGCCTGAAGTTCTATGATTCTGAGTCCAGGTTCTTGTTGGCTCATTTACCCATAGGTCCATCACTCTACAAGTGTTCATGGGAAGCCTCTAGTGTTCAGCTCCAGTCTCAAAAGCAGAATCATACTTTGGGTCCCCAAGAGAAGACACGCATTCCAGAATGAGCCTCTAATTCACAGAGGAGAAGGGAGGCAGGGACCTATAGCTGAAGCAAGACCAGTGCTGGAAAACAAGAGACAGTACCCTGAGCTCTGCACAGCACAAACAAATGAACATGCCCTCTTCCCTCCCCGACCTGCCATCTTCCCACCTGTCCCGGGAGAATAGCCAAGATTTCCAAATTCAGAAGGTACAAGGCAGAAGACAGCAAGTAGAAGTCCCAGACTCCCCCAACGCCCCCCCCCCTTTGGGTAGCGACATGGGGATGGATGGGTGATGTTAAATATTCATCAGATGCAATGAAGTTACTGGAATTGCCCATTAAGATGTAACGTGCAATTTGCAGCTTTCTCCTAACACCCAGGGCAGACACTCGTCAGCGGGATGGATGGCGGGCCGCAGAGGAAGACGAATCGCCAGGGAGATGGTGCATCTCAGAGCGATCAATACAGACCGGCAGCTCCAAGCAGCCCGATATTCGAGCAATAAGTAGAAGTAAATAGACAGGCAGATTAATTAGGCCTCTGGTGGGGAGGGGTGAGAGGAAGGCCTGGAGCACAATCTATAGGCAAGGATAGGAGGAGGTGTTATCCTGTGAGTCCTCTACAGTGGGCGTCGAGAGCTCAGGCTCCCAACCAGGACAGGCCCCAGGTGTATTTTGACAACAGCTGGCCATGCAGTGACCCCGATTCTGGAAGGCCAGCTACATGTGGCCTAGGTGGGGCCACTGACTCCTGTGGGTTAGAACCTCCAGAAGGGAAGAGACCCACAACTTCCTTTCTCACCGCTGGGAACCGGCTCCCTCCCTGGAGCACAGAGCCGTGGGGGTCTTGGGGTTCAGGGGGCTTTGTCCCTCTAATGGTGATGCATGGCTCTACTAATTCGCTGCACGAGGCTGTTAATTCTGGCGCAGCTGCTGCAGCCGCCCCTCCAGGCGCTCTGTAATGCTGGGCTGTGGAGCTTGCTGCAAATTAACACCATTTGTTCTGCGGAACATGTTTCATTTCTGCACGACACGCATAGCTTATTACCTCGCTGGCAGCGTGGGGAGAGGCAGCGGGGGCCAGGGAAGGGAGGGAAGACATGGCCCAGACCCTTCCTGACTCCAACTTATTCTTTCCAAACCTACTGCCTGTGTGGGGGAAGGGCCTCAGTCCTGGACTCAGTGATTTTGGAAGGGCTGGGAGTCCCTTTGAGGAGTTCCTGGGGGAAAGAGGTTGCTGTTCCAGTTCCTGGTGGCTGGTCCCCAAAAGGAGGCCAGGGCTCCAGGTAAGGGTCCTGGCCTCTTCAATCCTGGCTCTGGTCACAGGCAGCTTTATGGCCTCAGGGAAGCACTGTGGCCTCTCTGAGCTATTTCCTTCCTTAACTGTGGAGACACTGAACTAGGGGATCCACCAGTACAGCTCCTAGCTCTGTGGTCCACAGCCTGCTGAGTTTCTACTTTGCTGTGGTCAGAGACGGTCATCTAAGTCAGGCAACTGACAGACACAAAGATTTGACCCAAGGCCAAACAGAAGTGGATGGCCTGGTGCCTCAGTGAGCCTGCTGGGCTACTCCCATGGTGGTAGCCCCTGAGCCTGAGTAGAGCAAAGGGCCCCTTGGTCCCAGGCCGGCGGGAAGAAGATAGGAGTTATCATTCAGCCTATTGTGGCTGTCAATCATGAACAGGAGCCCCAGGGTCCCACAGCCCCCACAGTGGTGACTCGTGACATTTGTCACCCCTTGGTAAAAGATTTAGGTTTCGCTTTGCCTCTCTGCTGACCAGGGATCTGGCAGTCCCTCTGGGATGGTGTGGAAGTCTTTGCAGAATGCTCACCCAGGCCCTTTACTTCTCCTCTGATACATACTGCAGGCCCTCAAGTTCAGCAGTATCCTGAGGGTCTCAGGGCAGCACTCCATTGTACCTGCCCACCACAGGACAGGCAGACAACCTCCCAGCTCATCAGGAGAAGGACCATGGGGCTAAGATCCACACTCTGAAAGCCAGGAATCATGCTCTCAGGGGCTGCAGGTCCTCTTTGCTATGACACAGAAGCCCCTTGGGGCCTTGTGAAAGGGGTTGAACCGGAAACTCCTGCACCCCCAAGGATCTCCTGGCCCTACATGAGGGTGGCCCCAAGGAAGAGGTGAAAGGATAAGGTTGTCTAAACCCTAAGAAGTCACTGTCAATGGCAGAATGTGCCTGGTCATCACCAGCTGCCATTCTGGAGGGTGAGGTTTGGGCAGGCGGTGAGCCTAGTGATCTCTCCTGAGTTTGTGACCTTGTGACCGGGATCATGTTACACACACTTGACCCAGGGCTAGTGATCCTCAGCCATGCTCTCAGCACCTAACTCTTCCCTGGGACCTCTCTCTCAGTCCCACCCAGAACCACGATCAGAGCATCCTACGAGCAGGGCATCAAGGAACATAAGCAGAGAGAACTAGTGATGAGGCTGGGGCCTGGGGCCATGGAAGCCCTTCCGTGGCTCCGCTCACAGACGCTCAGCAAGTCATCCACCTCTGGGATGAGTGAGTGAAGCATTGGCACACTGCCCCCACCCTCATTTAATAGTCCAGGAGCAAGGACCGGCAGAACCTTGACTTTGTGTGGGACCTTAAACATGACGTGTGGTAAAGGGGTTCAGACTCTCAGCATGATGCTTGGTAAAGGGGTTCAGACCCTCAGCATGACGTGTGGTAAGGGGGTTCAGACCCTCAGCATGACGTGTGGTAAAGGGGTTCAGACCCTCAGCATGACGTGTGGTAAAGGGGTTCAGACCCTCAGCATGATGTGTGGTAAAGGGGTTCAGACCCTCAGCATGATGTGTGGTAAAGGGGTTCAGACCCTCAGCATGTGTGGTAAAGGGGTTCAGACCCTGAGCATGATGTGTGGTAAAGGGGTTCAGACCCTGAGCATGATGTGTGGTAAAGGGGTTCAGACCCTCAGCATGATGTGTGGTAAAGGGGTTCAGACCCTCAGCATGACGTGTGGTAAGGGGGTTCAGACCCTCAGCATGACGTGTGGTAAGGGGGTTCAGACCCTCAGCATGATGTGTGGTAAGGGGGTTCAGACCCTCAGCATGATGTGTGGTAAAGGGGTTCCTGGACCTCCTGTCTCACTTGAGAGTCTTCCTAACAGCAGAGCAACAGTGACACTCGGGTGAGAACAGTCCTGTGAAAAGGATGCTCCACAGACGCAGGAGCCCTGTATGTACCTGGTGAACTGTCTTGTGCTATTAGTGAGGTTGGAGTAACCGGGTGGCATTCAGGTGTCATATATATATTAGCCTAGCAAAGGTACCAGTGTCGGGCTCAGGAATGTGGAGACCAAGGCCAATGGGAGGAGTGAATGGGGCATGAGGTCCAGGCAGGCCAGACTCAGAGCCCTTTGGATGTACCCAGGACTTGGGATAGACGAAGAACCCAATCCACCAGAGGAATGACAACCAAGAGTTCCACTAGGCAGAGTTCCTATGTGGCCAACCCTGCAAGATGAGACTCTGCAGTCAGGAGGGAATTGGGTCCAGGTCCTGACAGAGCAGCACGCACAAAGGCTGAGGGATGAGAGACTGTGCCACCTGCTCTGGCCACTGACTTTGAAAGGAGGGCCACAAACTGGCCACAGGAACCTGCCTCAATCTAAGGCTGGTATGGGTGCCTTGCCCACCTGTGCCAATAGTTTGCATGTGAAGCCTTAAGAAGTAACTATCCCCAGTCTGTGGCCTCCTGTAGACATGGCTGGCAGTGGCCACGAGCTGTTTTCTGTCCACCATATTTCCAGACCTGGTGGGCCAATTCTCTGTTGAATGCAGTAGCTAGGCTTTCCTGAGGGCTTCTGAGGGCTGCAGGGGAGCGTGACACACAGAAGGCACAGCCGGGTCCGTTGCTCCACATTAGCAAGCTCAGCCTCCAGCTACAGGCTCTGTAGCTGGAGATTTTCTCTCAGAGGAGCCAGGGGATGGATGTCAGGAATCAGACTGGTCAGCCATGCCCAGCAAGAGGAATATGGGTGGGCCATAGACTTGACATGTTAGTGTGGAACAATGGAGGACATGGGCAGTCCACTATCCCTGGGCTTGCTGGATAGAGTGGGGTGTTCTTGGGGGGTGTCTATCCCCCATGGAGTAGCTTGTCCCATGCAGAATGAGCTCTCCTGCCCTTCAAAGCCAAGACCATGTTGATATGCTTAGCTGCTGACCCTGGACCCTGGGAGTCCAGAATGGAGTCAGAGCGGTCCTGGGGCAGGGAGAAGGATAAAGCCCCAGGTGACCCTGACTTTTCTCTGGACAAGGGCTGGATCTGGTCCAGAGCCCATGGAAGGCTCCTGGTAGGTGCCGGCTCACACTCAACATTGGGGGAGCTAGCTGCCAAGCTCCTGGTCGTGGGGAAGCTGCAGAAGGTTTTTGTGTCAAGAGGCAGAGCGGCTGCATGAATCTTTCATTAGGGAGCAACGCACAGCCCAGGAACATCTGGTGGAGTCTCCAGGGAGCTGGGCCAGCACAGAAAGCAGGCACTGTGAAATTCGGGAGGCAGAGGGGGAGGAAAGAGCTGGGAGGCAGGTGGGATGCCAACCTCCCTGCCTGCCTCCTGATCCTCAGGCACTGTAGAGCCCAGGACAAAAGGGCAGGTGGGTACATAGCTCTTCCCCATCCAGAGGGCCCCTAACCCTGCTGTTCTACCTCTATCGACATCAGCAAAGACCTGCCCAGGATAGGGTAATCAACCACCCTATACCTCCCCTCCAGGTCAGAACACAGCAGCTCTGAATGGGAGGGCCTCCAGGGAGTTCCATCCTGGAGACAAGCTAATACTCTCCATAGGCAGAGGTGACAGACAGACAGGTATACCACTTACACTGGCCTGGAGCTAGTGGAAGGTCCAGTGTGTATGCAGGGTCTCTTCCCTGATAAGTATGTTTATGTTGTGGACTGAAGCTGTGCTAAGGGCCACAGGGTCACAGTGGACAGCTAGGACCACCTGAAGACTCCTGGGACTCTGCACCAGGCCAGCATGTTCCCTTGCCAGGGAAACATCAGACCAATGGCAACTTGCCCAGCTGCGTGAACCCAGACTCCCCAGGGCAAAGTGTGCACGGAGAACTGAGTCCACACAGCCGTTTCCAGCCCTTTCTGACTCCCACCCATGCTACTGTACTGACCTGGTCCGCAGAGCCAGACAGCCAGAGGGTCCACCCAGACCCTGGCCAACCAAACAGGCCTGGTGACTATAGACAGGTCCTTGTCATCAGCTGAGCCCAGATCCAGGTCAGACTGGGCCAGCACTAATGTCCCAAAGTTTGCTTCTGAGAACCCCGGGCTCTGAGATGGTGGATGATGCTAAGTCTGTGCTTCGGAGCAGGAAGCCTGACTGGGATCCCCACTTTGAGCCCTTCCCTTGAGCTGGTCACCTTGTTTCCTTCTAGCTGAGAGCCAGCCCTTTGGCCCTGTATGTAGCAGTGACCACAGCAGGTCTATCCTCTCACCTCTTTTTTCCAAATGCCCAGTGGGCGCATGCCTGTTCATCCCCAGCCCTGTGCAGAGGCGTACCAGGACCTGGCTCCTCCCAGGATTTTCAAAGGGAACTCTCTCCTCACAAGGCTTTAGCCATCCTCTCTCTAAAGGCTGTAGCCCGCGGTGGCAGTGCCTCCCCCAGGCTGTAAGGAGAGAGCTCTGATTGGCTAAGCAGTGCTGATGTCTGGTAGCCTTTTCCTACTGGGTTGCCTGTGGGACCTCTATGGCTCAGCCTTTGCTGGGCTCTGAACCTCCCCTGGAATCTCTCCCTTTTCCCCATGCCCTGCCCCAGACAGTGAACCTGGTGCCTCCCAGTCTCTGAACCATGCTTCTCAGTCTCTTGATCTTCAGGTCCCTCCCTGATCCTTCTGCGGAGGCCCCTCTGCTCACCTGGGCCCTAGACTACACTCTCCACAGTCGCAAAGCCTGGACCAGCCTGATGGAGGAAGCTGGGCACCACAGAGCCTGCACCAAAGCTAATGTCTCTGCCTACCTGAGCGCCCAGGCCTCCTCAAATGACACCTTCCTGAGATTAGAGTGACTTCCTAGAGCATGACACTGGAACAGAGTGGCCCAAGTACCAATGCGGCCCAACTGTCCCTCTTGTTATCCCTTCAGCCTGAGGCACGAGTCCCAGAGCCCGTGCCAGCCTCTCTTGTGGAAGGGAAAGATGGGAAGAGGGGCAAGGAGGGAGGCTGATTTCCATGTTTGCCTGGAACCTCACTTAAGGAAAGGTACCCGGGCACAAGGGCAGCACCCCTATCTTTGCCTGATCCTCATTGGCCACCTGGGACCTCCCATGCCTTACCAGATGGAATATTCCCGTCCTCAGCCCTACCCTCTCTGACCAGCCTGTGCCACTAAGGAGGGAGTGGGTTTTGTCCTTGGAGCCGCTAGGAAAGCTTAGCCACATGCCCCTCCCCTCTGGAGCCCACCCCACCCGTGCCCTCGGCAGCTGGCTCCTTGGCACTGGCACCCGGATCCCTTTGACGGCACATTTGGCTTCAGTCCCATCGATCTGCACACAGGCACCGAGGTGCCAAGCCTGGCTGTGGGCAAGGATGGGGACTCTGGAGAGACTGAGAGAGTGAGGCGCATTTCTCTGGATGCTCCGGGACCCTCCAGCACAACCCCAGCTCATCCTGACCCAGCTGCCAAAGGACACAGATCTATCCCTTCATGGTCAGGGGGCCTTGGGTAACCAGGGTGGAGAGGACCATCCCTGCGAGTACGGGCATTGGTGGAGATGATGCAGCCTTGAGACCACCACGAGGCGCGGCTGCCGTAGTCACAGGTCCAGATGGCCCACCCAGGCCAACCCACCCCACATCTTTAGGACACCAGACAAGCGCACATGGGGAAGCAGCGGGCACCAGGACATGTTAAAGGGCCCAGAGGTACATGGAGGTGATCTGGATAGGAGGCAGCCGGATTCCCTCAGATCTGGCCCTCTCGGAAAGCTGCCATGCCGAGGGACCCGCACCCAGGTCAGACTCGGCCCCCACCTGCACCCCAACACAGACACCAGGAACCTGCACTTTAGCGAGCCCACCCTGTCCTTACCTGTTCCATGCTGGCCTTGCCTACATCCACCTGCTCCCAGGCTGTCCTCGGCGGCGGCAGCGCTGCCAACTGTCTTCTGCCTCCTCACATGGGCTGCCAGCGATCTGCTGTGGGTTTTGTTCATGGGGTTTGGCCTCACGCAGCCGCCGCCGGCGGCACTCAAGATGGCAAGCGTCCATCTTTCTCCATGCCCGTCCCTCACCTCTGCAGTCTTCCTGGGCCTCCTGTGTCCCCATGGTGCCCGCTCTGAGGGAGTTGGCACGGACAGAGCCCGGCCCGCCTCTGCAGCTGAGGAAAGCCATGCTTCTTTTTTCTGTATTTTAAACACACACACACACACATACTCTCTCTCTCAGACACACACACACACACATGCCAAGGCCCCCACCCCCGACAACACGCATCCCTTCTGTCAGGAACAGACCTAGCCAAGAAAGCCCCTCGCAGGCGGGGGCAGAGCGGAGGGGCTCCGCAGAGCTGGTGTAAACCCAGCCCCATGGTTCCGTCCCTTCCTGGCCCCAGTACGCTGCCTCTTACGTAAACCGTCAGGAAGGAATCAAAAAGAAACGCAGATCCATGTCACATTTTGGAGCCTCCTGATTGGGTACACCTTTTAACTGGCTTGGTCCTTCCAAGCATGCTCTGGCCTCAGCCATGCGGAACCCTGCCCCGCTACCCATCTCCCTCATCACTGTCCAATACAGCTGGACACCCCCAACTGGCCTGTGCTACAGTGACCACATCCAACCCCTGGTGCCCATTCCTGGAAGGGTATTGATTTTTGAGACCAATTCTGGAACATAGGCTGAGAACTCTGATTTGGTCTGCTCACTGGCCAAGAATCTAGTATCTACAAGACAGAGATTTCTGGGTGTTTTGGGTGAAACTTCAGGTCCTGACCTAAGTCTTGGGTGACCAGAAAAGGTACCCAGGGGACAAGAGAGCCAAGGCCACCCTCAGGTTGGGGACAGAAGATGGAAAAAGAGGAAAGTGGCCAGACCTCCAGCTAGCTACCCCAAGGCAGTGAGACCCTCAGAGCCTCCTGCCTTCTTGATGGCATTTGTTTTCTTTGTTGTGGGTAAGGACTTCAGTTTTGTCCACCGACTAGAACATGCTTCTGACAGATGTGGTAGAGGCTCTGTGGGGCCTCGGGACAGTATGGCTTCTGTGATGGAAGGCAGACTCTGTGGTCACATGGTACTCATCCCTTGACCTGCTCTTTTCCTTTCTTAGAACTGACCTGGAGCCCAGAATCGGGGCCAGTTGTAGTGGGTAGCTGCTCCAGCTTTGACCTGGAAGTACTACCCCCAGTGAGGCTTCGGTAACTGTCATGCCTACCTATGACCTGCCCCTGAGGTGGGGCCAAGACAGGAGCCCTTAAGACCCAAGATCCGGATGTGCTGGCTCTCTTGGTTCCTGGTGATGCTGGATGCTGGATGGTAGACCGAGCAGAGTTCTCCAGAAAACCCAACTGGACTGCACCTCCCCTCCCCTGGATCCGGTAACCAACCCCTTTACTTGTTGAAAGTACTACAGCCAGTCGTGGGAGTTGCTCCCTCTGAGAGGGAGCAAGGAGAGGAAAGAACTGGACTCTGTCCCTCCTCAGTGACCATCCCATCTTGACTACCGTTTTTCGCCTCTGCCCCTCTCACCACATCTCCGGGGCAGTAAGGACATCAAAGGCAGGAAGAACTGCACACAGCACCAGCCCAGGTCAGCGGGGCGAGGCCAGCCAACGAGCAGGCCCTTCCCTCCATCTGCTTCACTCACCCTTGTCTTCTTAGCCTGGGCCATCAGCCTGTTTGACCAGGCTGGCTCTGGGTCAACGGTCATCCCAGGCTCTTTCACTTGAGACCAGGCTGTGCCTAGTTGTTCAGCCTAATTGCATTTTCAGGCATTGTGGGTTTTTTTGTTTTGGGTTTTTTTTTTTTGGTTTTTGGTTTTTGTTTTTTCCTTTTTGGCAGAGGAGTTAAGTTTTCCTTCACTCACTATATTCAGTAGTAGTTGACCTAAACTTAGCTTCAAACATCTTTGAAACACCCCCAAAATGAAGATCAGGAACCATCCCATCTTGGTTCATACCCACACCCCCAAGTCTAAGTCCAGCACTGGGTGTTCTAATCCAAGTAGGTACCAATCTTCAGTCTTCCAGTATATGCCTGCAAGCTCGCCAAGACCCTCAGCTTCCAAGCTCTCTCTGTCCTCTGACAGTGGGGCAGCCTAGAGAGTGTGTGCATCTTCTCAGGCGTCTGTCCACCAGCAAGAATGGCTGTGCACATCCAGAACTAAGTGGGAAAAGCTTCCCAGGATCTCCTACCTTGCCTCGTGGTGTTGACAGTTCCTGTTCCTTCCAATAACATGAAGAGGGCTAAGCAGACACTGTCGTTGAACCTGTGACTGAAAGTACACATGTCCTGGGCATGGGTTGGGGACCCCACTGTCAAAGTGAAACACCAGACATCTAAGTAGACCTAGCCTGAGCTTCCTGAGGTGGTGGTCCAGTCAGGCAGGTGTCACCCCAAGAGAGCCTAAGTGTGAGAGAACAAGACACAACCTGGGGTACATCCTGCTTCAGGGCCATCTCCAGGAGACTGTATCACAGGTGTCACCCCGAGCCTGGGGTTCAGGAGACAGAAGGAAGGTTGGCTTCCTGTCTTAGGAAGAAGGGTCCAGAGCTCAGGGTAGCAGATCCAGGGGCCATCTCTCTGCCTTTGGAGTCCCCATGTTCAGGATTCCTGGACTGACCTGGCCATCATTCCTTTGGTGCCTCAATGGCCTGCAAAGCCTGGGGCATCTAGAGTTGGCACCCAGCAGCTTCTGAGGGTGCTTCCAGCCTGAGATGGATGTTCTTTGGACCAAGAGAATGAAGGAAAAGTCTTGGTTGTGTCCATACTGTGTCCTTGATCATTCAAGGGAATTGTTGCACCTAAGCCTGGACCAGCATGGCTCCCAGAAAAGTGACCCAGGCGATGACCTTGGTGCAGGACAGTGGAGGAGAGAGGACCCACCCCTGACCTTGGTGCAGGACAGTGGAGGAGAGAGGACTCACCCCTGATCTTGGTGCAGGACAGTGGAGGAGAGAGGACCCACCCCTGACCTTGGTCAGGACAGTGGAGGAGAGAGGACCCACCCCTGACCTTGGTGCAGGACAGTGGAGGAGAGAGGACCCACCCCTGATCTTGGTGCAGGACAGTGGAGGAGAGAGGACCCACCCCTGACCTTGGTGCAGGACAGCGGAGGAGAGAGGACCCACCCCTGACCTTGATGGGCATTCTGGTTTCTGTTGCTGCTATAAACACTGTGACCAAAAACATCTTATCAGAAGGAATGGCTTGCTTTACTGCACAGCTCCCAGGTCAGGGTCTATCACTAAGGAAAGTCAAGGCCGAAACAGAAACGCGGCTTACTGGCTCACTTCCTGGTTTGTCCCCGGACTCACGCTTGATGAGCTTTTTCACACAGCCTAGGGAATGACTCTGCCTACAACGGGGTGGGCCTTCCTACCTCAGTTCCTCACAGACATGTCCACAGGCCAGCTTGATCAAGGCCATTCCTCAACTGAGGCTTCAACTTGCAGCTGACTCTAGACTGAGCCAAGTTGACAATTGAAGCTAACTAGGACAGTGCAGGGTTGTTGAACCACCTGGGGTACCCAAATGGCCTTAGGTCTGACATGGGTCTGGGCTGGGCCCAAGGCCTTGTTCATCTATTTGTGTTTATTTAGTTAGCTCCTAGGTAGGTCTTTAAGTAAACCTTCTACACTTCCTGAAGATAACTTTTTAATTATGCCCTGGTGGGTCAGCCCCAGCAATTCATACATGTGATTAATGCTTGTGATACATGTGTGTGAGCCATGTGTGACCCATGCATGTGGCCTGCACGCCTTCTGTGGCGCTCCTTTATGAAAATAGCTGTCCCTCCCGCCACCTACCGGTCTCTATTTGTCACACTTCTCTCGTGCACCTGCTCAACAGGCAAAATGGGTAGGTGTGAGATTAGCAATGTTAACTCCTAGTTCTGGGAAGTTCAGCGCTTCTTAACGTCCAGGTATCGATTTTTGGCCAGTTGGGTTTTCCCCCTTACTCTTAAGCTATAATGTTTTATTTCTCACTCGCTTTCTTACTGGCCTTTTATTTAGCTGTTCGTTGGTGAGGATTCCCTGTGTGTGGCAGGCATTAGCACCATCACACAAATGACCATTTCTTTCATTTTCTCCACTCTGCTGCTCCACGCACAGCACCTTCCCTTCAGTGCTGTCCCTTGTCTCTGTCCCTAGGTGTGGCACAGCCTTGCCCACCTCAGCTAATGCAGGACCCGTCTGCATTATCCCCAGGCCTGTGTGCAATTTCTGACTTCTTTTTTTTAAAAATATGTATTTATTTATTATGTGTACCATGTTCTGCCTGCATGTATGTCTGCAGGCCAGAAGGCAGCACCAGATCTCATTACAGATGGTTGTGAGTCACCATGTGGTTGCTGGGATTTGAACTCAGGACCTCTGGAAGAGCAGTTGGTGCTCTTAACCACTGAGCCATCTCTCCAGCATTTTTTTGTGAGTGAATTTTTTTTTTTTTGGTTTTATAAGACAGGGTTTCTCTGTGTAGCTTTGTACCTTTCCTGGAATTTACTCTGTAGCCCAGGTTGGCCTTGAACTCACAGAGATCCACCTGCCTCTGCCTCCTGAGTGCTGGGATTAAAGGCATGCGCCACCACCGCCCAGTGCCTGTATGTAATTTCACGTTTGTCTCTACTGCAAACATTTCAGATCACAGTGGAGCCTGACTCAGGTAAAGAATGGTCCAGAATCACCTATTTGATTTTTCCTCCTGAGAGAATCTCCTTCTTTCTTTGCTGCAGAACAAGAGCTTGACCTCATTTCTGGCATTTCCTCTGTTCTGTTTATCTGAAGGTCTCCCTGTGTCTGCACATCGGCCACTCTGCTCTTTGTTATTTTATAACTTACTACTTTCATAGCAATTCTGCCCAC